TAAAACCACTTTTACGAAATGAGCGTGGCCCTGAGCCAGTTAATTCCGTTGACAACTTTTCATGAAACAAAGCCAGTTAATTTTTCATGAAACTAGCCTAGAAATGTTGGTGATCTAGCGTGGCGGTGCCCGGCAATGGCATGGTGGTGGCAGCCCGACATGGCGGCGCCTGACGGCATGGTGTCGGCGACCCGACGCGACGCAAGAGTCTCCTGTTGTGAAGTTTCATACGGTTGTCCGCCCGCCAAAATTATACGGGTGGGCTTTCTTCTCGTAAACTTGCAAGACGGAAGAGGTGATCATATGGTATTTTGTAAAAAGAAAATCGAGTTTACAGGAGCTGTTGAAGGGTTGTTTTTTATCTCAACTTTGTCCCGTCGACGGTACTTTTTGTAGGGATGCAAGAGCTATTGGAGTTGCTCTAATGCCAATTTATTTTCCGGGTAACTTACAAATAACCGGGAAATAAACCTGTTTTGTTTTTAGGAGAAAACAAAATATTAATTAAGTATAAAAAAGAGAAGAAAATATTAACCTCTTGTGTGTCCGTCGTTACACTTTCCAAATTAATAGTATCAACCTTCCTACTAACTTAAGTTAGCTTTGACTTCTCCTTTTTCTCACTTGTAATTTTTCTAGTTTATCTACCGATGGGATTTAGAATGGTGCCCCCTCTTTGCCTTTGGCACATTAAAGACTCTGCTCCTCAATGAGTGGTTCACGACTATTGATCTAGTATGCATTCTTCTACCTGTCCACTTCTTGAGAGGCTCACTCTTCAGCTTTATGACACTAAGGTATATCATGTATATATAAAGATGTCAATGTGTTATTAAAGGAAATATCATGTGTGTTCAATTGATCTTACTAAATGTTCTCAGTATCTCACACAGAACCTCGTAGGAGCAACAACAACCCCAGAAACAGTTGAACAATCATTTGTTTGCTCCCACCTGGAGGTTGTGAACATTGAATGTAGAAAGATTGGTGTGGTAATTTGCAAAATCTTGAATATCTTGAGTACATTTGGTGTAGATTATAAGAAAAAACAGCATCGATGAAAAATGTTCTCGCTCACATCGCAAGTTACCTTTGTCATGCATCATCGTCCATGTGTTTCTCCAATTTTTCTACTCTACGAACATGTTTGATGAACTTGCACATTAACTAGAGAACATTTGGTACCCATTTGTATCCATATCATTCATTATGAAACCCTTTATAACCTGTGTATGTTGTATTTACTGCATGCTGGTGAAGTTGAGAATTGCTGCTAAGTTCTAGTGGTAGCAAATACAATGGTAACCACATGTTGCCGTTCATGCGTGTAAATAATCGGTATCATCCATGCAGAGTTATTTGGGATTGGTTCCCTACTTTTTTACTGTTCATTATTAATGAAGATATCAAAAGCTCTTGTTTTGGAATTAACTTTATCTGTGTTCCTAGTTGGTAGATTACACTTGGCATATATTCAGCAAGGGCAAGGAGGACTGCCTTTGCCTCTTTGTTTTCAGTTTTACTGTTGTTTCCAGCCTGTTGTCAGTCTGAAATCCCTCTTCAGTTTATGAGGTATCTGAATGGTCATATATATCTTGCACTCACAAGGGTAAACTCTATGTTTACAAAAACAATTGGTCAAGGATACTTTTTGGTTAAAATAAAAGAAATTTGGTCAAGCGGCATGATATTCTCCTATCTATCTATACAAATTGAGGTCATCCTCATGCCAAACTTATTGTTTATTGTCATGTTGTTTTTTAGGTTTCAGTTTCTAGAACCAAAAGCATGGGTAGCTTACATCACTGGTGACGCCTAAGATGTGTCCTCTGGCATGATGTTTGTCTAAAATCCTTTTGTGTTTCTCCGTTGAGTCTATAATGGTGGCCCTTTGTTGGCTTTTATCGCTACACTTAGTTTCTCAATTTTGATATTTCGGTGATGTGCTGGAACTTGGCTTTGTTGGTTGTTTGGTGCGACTCGGTAATACAGTTTGTAGCTCGTTGAACTTAGAACATTGCTATGTTTCGTTATATCGGTAACGCACATCAGGCTGGTGTGCCCTGTTTGAGTCCATTAATTCTTTCTGATGGAGCTTTACTTCAACTATTATTTCGGCATAAACTGTTTACCTGTTGAGCTTCTTATGGATGAGATGTCGGACCTGAACATGGTTTATGGAGCCAAGTGTCAACGCCTAGTTTTTTTTGCTTTGCACTAGTAAGATACCCGGCCTAGAATTTCTGGAACTACCAGGCGTAGGGCTGGAAAAAAAGCTCAAAGCTCGTGAGCTAAACGAGTAGCTAGTGACTCGGCTCGAATCGATTCGAACTCGAAGAATAACGAGTCGAGTCGAGCTTTAGTTTAAGATCGTTTGTAGACCAAGTTAAACGAGCCAATCTTACGAGTACTCGTGTAACTCGTTAGGCTCGGTACAAAAGATCAGCCACTCCCAATATAAAAAAAAATCAGCCACTCAGCACCCTATGTCCCAGGCGCACAACACAAGGCCTAGCCGTTGAAGGCCCAACCGCCTAGAAGACTCATGCGTTACAAGAAAATTACTATTGTTTAGTGATATATATGTTTAATACATACATATAATTTTTATAATGTTTGAGGGTTTTATGTTCATATTTTTAACGGGCTTAACAAGCTAAACGAGCCAGCTCGCGAGTTATACGAGTCGAGCCAATCTTGGATTTGAGCTCGTTAATAATAACGAGTCGAGTTGAGCTAGCTCATTAACGAAACGAGCTCTAGCGAGTCGAGCCGAGCTGGCTCGACTCGGCTCGAATTCCAGCCCTAACCAGGCGACTGGATTTGCGCATACTAGGTCGGCACCCTTGTCCTTTTGATTTTTCGCCACAGATCAATCTTTAGATCATACTACTAGG